GCCGCGCTCATCAGCAAGAAGTTAGAGTAGTCCAGCGAGAGGAGATCAATAGTATGAAGGAGTTTGAACAGCTTCTCTATCATCTCAGGCAAAGTGCCTTCCTCTTGTAGTTCGTCTACCAGAAGTTTGACCTCGGCATCGCGGAAAGGTGCACATAGTTTTGGCAAAATATTTGCAATGAACCGAAAGAACTTCTCATACGAAAACATCCCCTGACTGCATTGGCGGCTGATAAGTTCGGCGTCTAGTGTGTCGGATATCAGCGTATACATCGAATTGCCCGACTTGAGAAGGCGCAGAAGCTTTGCACGGATGTTTTCGGCCATGGCAGCCGTCCACATCGCTCCTTCCCCATTTTCGAAGCCCTGACGCATGGCATCGCAGAGCTCGCGATTCAGCGCATCACGTAGATCGGCGGTCGGTGAAGCGTCTATTCGATATTCTTTATCGATGGACAGTTCGTGAACGAGAACCCTGTTGGTAGGAATCGAGGTGAACAGTTTTGATAAAGAGTTCGCTTGGTGTCCCGCAGACGCTTGTGTGGTGCTTGATGCCGCAAGTTGCGATGCCGCTGCGGCCTGTGACGCTACCTGGTCTTCCGCAATCGAAGAGCCTGGTGTCGGTGAGGCGACACGAGGACGTGCTACTTCGCCGCTGGGACCTCGCTTTGGGCGAGCCCGTCTCGACTCACGAATGGCTTTTCTGATTAGCTGCAAGGCTCGATCAGGACCAGCAAGTCGTTTGATCTTGCTTAGCAGAATAGCCTGGTTGTCGCGTATGCCAATCTTATACTCTTCAGCCACGACTTCTACTGTCTCATCTTTTACGCTTTGCCAGATGGCGTCGAGGTTTACGAAGGAAGCCACCATAGTCTCGATGAGGGTGGACGAATCGCGCGCCTTCCACAAGTTGAAGGCAGTCATGAATGTACCATGAGCGAGTGCAACAGTCTCGAGCCGGGTGGGTGAAGGTGTATAATAGTTGAACGTGGTCAGCTTGCTGAGTGCGGCTTCGAAGGAAATAATGAGGTCTTTAGCCTTCTGAATAAGGTCCTGCTCTTGATCGCCATCGCGGCTCAGGACATGTGTAGGATGACCCAAGATCAAGTATGCAGCCAAAAACGTCCGCACAGTTGTGCGGCGTGAAGCCGCATCCTCACCAGAGAGAAGCCCGAAGAGGGCCATAATCTGTTCTGTGGCTTCCAACACCTTCTCCTCATTTAACAGTGCGGTCACCTCCTCGAAGCTATTGTCATGCACCTTGTCGATGGACAAGCCAAACGCCAACCATGCATCGACGGCAGTCTTTCTGGCTCTGGCCCTCCAAGCAGCTTGGATACGCTTCGCAGCATCTTCAGCACTGACTTCCGGGCGTCTGATAATCTTCTTTGCATCGGCCGGTGGCGAGCTGGCAGTTCTCGGCCTGCGAGTGTTGCGCTTATACTCCAGCCTCCTCTTTTCAGCCTCAGCCAGCTTGTCTTCCATTTCCTGTCTGTATCTCCTTTCCTCGGCAGCCTTGCGTTCTTTCATGTCTTCAGCAACCTTCTTCGCGCGCCGGACCTCCTCAGCGCATGCTGCAGCGACCTGCGCCAAATGCCGTTCGCGGGCCTGTTTAGCTGCCAACGCTCGCTCTTCACTGTTGTTATTCCTGGAGGTAGCTTTGGCCAACGCAGCCCTCAAACGGACCTGCTCTGCGTGAGCAGCTCGGTCAGCTAGTCTGGCTTTGCGGGTCTCGAGGATGGATGCGCGTCGCAAATGCTGCGCGACATGGTGGCTCTGGCAGTTGTTGCGGAATGAGCGGTTAGAGGTGTGCGAATGCGTCGAGGATATCGAGTTGCGGCGGGACGAGGCCGCTGACGATTTCCGGCGGTTGTTTGAGTAACGATAGAAACGGGCGGCGATACGCGGCGGAGGACTGAAAGGCTGGCTGCTTTCGGCGCCGTCTGACAGCATCATCTCGGCTTCCTCCGGTATGTCGTCGTTTGGAGGGAGCTGGACGTTGTCGAGATCGAGCTCGGGGTCGGAAAAAGAGCCGTCCATGATGCCGGCGTGGCAGTTGTCCATAGAGGCGCGTGGACTCGGAGTTGGACTCACAGTCGTGGGCGGCTGGCGCTACCGCAGTATCGAGTGTAAACGAAGTGAAACAGAGCACGACCAGCGAGGGTTGTCTGCATGCGCACGCGGACGCGCTGATGAGATTCAACGGCCGGGGGCAGAAAAATAGAGAAGCGAAGGATAGCAACGAAAGAGCTCTGTGCGCTGCATCAGGGAAGAAGAGGTAGACGGCGATGTTGGTGGCTGGGGAGGGGTGCCTTCCCAGCTCGAGTACTGCTGACTAGGCGCGATGATGCAGAAGCCCATCGAAAAGGATCGGCGTTGCGCTTCAGCCCTACGCCCATCTACGCATGCGTGCGACAACGCCACCTGCCGTGCATCTGCCGACGCTCTCTGCATCTTCATCTTCTTGAATAATCATGTTAAACCTGCGAAGCTTCAACTTGTGCTAACTCGGTCGAAACATCTCGAAACACGGCTGCATCCCTGCTGTCATCTCAGCATTGCATCACTTTTGTGCAGATATTGTGCACGGCCGGCAGCCCCTAGTAAGGTCATCATTCCACGACGGAAATCGACACCGCAACGGCGAGACTACGAGAAGCCCGTCTCCCTGTTGAATTCCCCTTAAAGATCACACTACCCAAAGAAAAGCGCACAAGCACGCGAGCACGCGTCGACCCAGGCAAAGCGATACCAGGCGCTGTACCATAGAGAATATATTGATCGCAGCAGTCGAGCAGGTACACGTGCAGTTTCATGCCGGCATGAGAGGCTTAATGCAGTGCTACATAGTACAAGTGTAGGTCGGTCGCCCAACAGGCAGGACAGCAGGAAAACCCTAGCCAGACTTTCACTTGAACAGGGTCGGTTCACTCGGCTTCCAAGATCGCTTTTGACTATTGTTTGGAAAAAAAATGGAGCGTAGCTATATAAGATGTGGAGAGGAGTCATCGGAATGGTGCGATTATACTGACCCAGCAAAGTTCGTCATTCACCTTTATGCAAACGCACTTTAGCACGAATGCTTGAGGTTATTAGCGACATAGAAAGCAATGCTTCTAAAAATGTCTCACAGGCTCGAGCTTTTGAAATCAGGCAACTTGACAACCCCGTTGACCCCCGCCTCTAGCTCGCCGATACAAACGGATCGGCTGCTGGAGCAGCTACCCTCTCTCACTAAGTCGCTCGTTATAGCATAGTGTACATTGAATATGATAACAGATGCGATCTTTGGTATATGGTACACCTCGCTTTTCGAAATTACTAGTGAAGCCCCTTCACCACGGCGACTGTCCACGTGGGAACGCGTCAACATAATTTTGTACCTCTCTTGAACGTATTTGTCTCCATTCCTGCTCCTCATTCTTTCCACGAGTTGTCTATTCGCGATGGGCCCGATAATTCATGGATCCGACCGATACGTATTCATCTGTACACTAGTATTCGTAGCGCTGTCTGCAGTTGCTGTTGTATTGCGAGTATGGGCGAGACGAGAAACTCGAGGATTTGGAGCAGACGACTGGCTGATACTCCTTGGATGGTGAGTGCAATCAAGAGACATAATACAGCGCTGATTTTGTAGGGCTCTATTCCTATTGCAACCAATCGCAGTTCCTTTCTCCCGCCTCGGACATCACCATCAGGACTTGACTGAGACACAGTACATTGACGGAACGAAGTGGCACTTCTATATTGGCATCCTATATACGATCAATACTGCGGTGGTCAAGTTTTCCATCTGCTTTCTCATGCTGCGCATCGCCCGGCAAAAGGTGCACCGTTGGATTTTCAAAGGTGTTTTTCATACCACGATCATAACTTCCTCGATCCGGATCATAGTCTGGATTGCTCGTTGCCGGCCGCTGGATGCCGCGTGGAATAAAAACAAGGGCAAGTGCAGCTCTTCAACGTGGTTGACTAATGTCACCATCTTCTTCAGTGCTGCCTGCATACTCACAGACTTAGTCTGCGCCATTGTCCCGGTGATGATCGTCTGGAGTTTGCAACTTTGTTCGAAAGCGAAGCTGTACATTTGCATTATGCTATGTCTTGGCCTAGGGTAAACCTCTGGATACCATCGTTTCGAGAAAAAGTGTTGCTAATAATCAATACAGCGCCTCAGTCGCTACGATAATTCGGGTGCAATACCTATTCAACTACCAGAATTCCCAAGACCTCCTCTATGGACTCGCCCCCATCGCCTTCTACTCCAACCTTGAGATCACCTTAGGTATCATCGCCGCCTGCATCGCTACTTGGCGCCCGCTTCTCCGCTACATCCCTTGTTTGAACACAAGAGCAAGCTCTAGTGTGAGCCAAGGAAGACCATTCCATTCGTTTAGGATGCATCACCTTGGTCGGGATAGAACAGCAAGCCGCGACCAAGTCGGAGAGCGGGGGTCATGGTCAGACGTAGAGAGGAGTGACAGCCAAATACACATTCTGCCCCAGCGGCCATCAGCGGCTACAGTCAAGCAAAACAGAGCTGGCGAGCAACACGGATCCAGCCACGACACGAGACATGATTCTATGACTTAGTCGCACGGGGTGGAGAAAATGTAATCCTAAATTGGATGCTCGCAGTTCTTGCGTACAATTGCCTTGCGTTTCTTATACCGCTGCCAAAATATAAATATACCATTAGGTCCGATACTTGCGAGTTGTGCTTACAGCTCCATTGCTCTCGGTATTCTACTTTATATGCATCCATGATGTACCAAACTAGTTCTCATACACGAACCAAGGTTATAAAGATTAATATTACATACCGTACTTGGGTTTTTTTGCCCTAGGTAGTTATTTCGATATTTCGTGTGCATTAAAACTTCTCGGTCGTTTTTTTGGGAACTACCAGGCGTCCTGCCGGGAAGACAGTTGACCCATGTCGACGTATTCGATCAACCGATAGACAGGGACAAAAAGCCAAAAAGAAAGAATAACTCTCTCCCCCGCGTGGGCTCGAACCACGAACCTCCTGATCGCCGTACACGTGAGTGTATAACAGTCAGACGCGCTAGCCAATTGCGCCACGGAGGATGTTGTTGAGCTTTTCCAAATGTTATATAGATTATATACTCCATTTAATCGTAGCGATGGTTGCAAGGTTGAATAACGATAGAACTGTGAGCATATATGGTGGGAAACTGGGTTTGTGGGCGAAAGCGGAGTAGACTAGGTTGTTGAGAGTGATGATTGGTGATGGTAGCGAAGTTTGGGCATGGTAGGAGCAGGGGGTCGGATTATGTAATGGCTTGGAATTGGAAACAGTAGTGGAGAGAAGTGATGTTATGGACATACAAACATGAGAGATTGCCGAGTTTATACCATTTGATTTCATGCTGAAATGCAAATTCTTCATTGTGGTGGTTTGCTTCCATTCGATATCGAGCATACTGTGACTACGCTGGCTACCACTTCGAGCCATACCACTTTGAATCTAAGAGAGGGACTCAAAAACATGTAGTAACAACTAATCATAATTCCACCAGGGTATCAACTACGCAAATAATCCTACGAAAAGTTCAGTCCCCTCGTATATATTCCCTCATGGCCCCAACAGTGTAGAGGCCCTCGAGAAATCCGCAGGACAGAAGACGCAGCTAACGTCTGTCTATATAAGAAGACCTCACCAATTCAAGCCCCTGTTGCTGTGCGCATAAAAAGCCCATCCTGGAAATCCACAACGACTGCCTTCTCTATGAACGGTCCTGCTGCCTCCTTGAAGGCCTTATGCGCGGGGTCTTCATTAACGTAGTAATCACGATCCTCGTTAGAGCTGAACTGCACAACGAAAGCATGGCTCAATCCTGCCTGAAAGATTCATTAGTTTGAAGAAAGTACTAGAGCATGGAGGTCGAATAAGTACTTGGAGACCTTCGGGTGAATTATCTGCTCCTCCAGTAATCGATTTGACGTAGGGTACTTGTGTCTTTGGGTGGATACATGACTTCTGGAGACCGAGCATCTTTAATGTGATCTGGTTTCGCTGTCAATACTGATAGCGTCCAAGGCTTTGGATTCTTACGTCTTTGAGGTCCCCCGGAGTCACGCTATCGTGGAATTTGAATAGAACGATATGGGTCGTGGGCGGACTAATGGAGGAATTTGGCTTCTTCCTGAATGACGGAGTTTTTATCACTGAACTAAGAGAGTTCGGTTGGGCGTGTGTGAGCAGAAAGATGATAAGGACGAGGAGGCACAGTGCGGCGCCCATGAGAGAGCGGTTCCTGAACATCATCTTAGCGCGCAAGAGACGGCGCGCTCCAGCAACATCGATGCAAACGTATGCTTTGCAGGCGACTCGCCAGAAAGGAACACCTCGTGCAGCAATGCGAATAGATATCCTCTTGAGAAGGTTGTAATAACTTTCAAACATCACACGTGTTGCCCTAACCTAAAACAGCGTGGCGCCTAACCTCGGTTCGCGAGCTACTGAGCTTAGGCGCGCATCCTCCAGGAAAACAGGAATGACGTCCTTCCGCCGACCGATCTCGCCATGGCCATCCAATTTCATCATGGACAATTGGGGTAACGCACAGATGCCGCTAATCCACATCGATCACCAAATTGCGGGCTTCAAACCTGACGGTCATTGGAAGCGCGCTGCTACGGCTTGGCAGGCTCGTAGTTATGACGTAACAAATGACGGGTCAGGTGAAGAGCCCATCGCGCATGGAGGTACAAAAGCGTCCCTTCTCCTCAACAATCCCTGGCAATCCATCACCTACACACTCATCTCGACCTTTTTTCAACTCTACATCACATCCTAAACCATCACAATGGCCACTCTCCACTGTAAGATGCTTTCTCCCCACGATTTCTGCAGTCAAACAACGCGGCGCGAGAGGTCATGATGGCCGATTGCGCAAATTCCCCACACTCGACTGAAACAACACGTTTCTGCATCGCAATTGAGCTTCGAAGGCAATTCTAACATTTATATCCAGACCTCCCTCCCGTTAAGCCTTCGGCTATTGCCCTTGGCACTGCCTTTAACCACGCTGTTTCCCTAGCCGTCCTCGGCCCCGTCTTCGGCGAGACCTACCGCCGCGCCCAGGCTGCCAACAGCAAGGAGGAGTTCTTCAACTCCAAGGAGGCTGCCACCGCCGCTGCCTCATGGGGATCTAGCCTCGTTGGTTCTGCCATCCAGGCCTATGGTGTTGGTGCTCTGATCAACGCTACCGGTACCCTTACCTACAAGGGTGCTGCTTACCTCGGTTCTTTGATCTTCTTCGCCTCCGCTGCTCCCTCAGTATGTCCATGCCATCAACAATCATTGTAAAGAGAATGCTAACTCTGTGTAGATTGTTTCCCAGATCGTCACCGAGAAGCGTCCCCTTGACACCGTCGCCGTCGGTGGCGTTGCCCGCGTCTTTGAGACCGTCGGTCTTTCCCTCTTCCTCACCTACTGGGGAACCAGGACCAACCCCTTCGACTAAATGTCTTCTCCTCTATTAGCGGCGGATGTTAAGTTCTAGGAAAATCTCCTTAAGGCATAGATTGAATTGCCTGCTTCTTCGAGGACATGGTATGAGAAATGTAGAGCCCTACGAGGCCTGATTACAGCATGATTGTAACAATAACCAATTGAAATATATAATCCAATAATGCCTTGCCTTGTGCTGTTATTTAATTGTGAGACATGCTTGAAACGCATTGGCTTGAACACACATTGTCATGTCTGTGATGTTATTTTGTCACGGCATGGTATTCTGTAATGTAGTTGAGGAAAGTCTACTTCTGTATATTTATACCGCGGTACCCCTCTCCTACCTTGTGTACTCTATCTCATTGAATTCAAGACATACACTCAATCTTCGATTCCCATTCGCGTAATCAACCCCCTGACCTCCTCTTCCTAGCCGCCCCTCATCGCCGCCAATTTAGAACAACCTCCTCTCTATCTCCTATACTCTTATTCTATAATACATGAGTTCCATCACATATGACGCTATACTGAAGCCTAACACCCACACTCTTCTGTTCTTAATCATGATCTTTTCAACCGTGTCAGTGACACCAATGGTGTTTGACCACTTCGACTAGATCTCATTCTCATACTCAAACTAACCTTTACTATCAACTCTTTACATGCATTTCATTCTCAAAGAGCTTTCGAATAAGTCGCCCGAATGAACCGTTCTAGCTTCAACCTATCCTTCAACCTCCGAACATCCAACCTACTACAACTCGGTCTAACACAATCACGAACTTGATTTAGCCTACGTTGACCAGGTGACTATAATTAGGCCTAGCTTTTGAGCTTCTCGATCCGATTTATTCAAAAATGGCCACAAATCGACCGCACCTTTTCTAATGCAGCTATCTACCTGCGTCGTTGATCTATTCTTTCGAATGTAGCCTATATATACACTTGAAATAAGTCGAGGTACTTCAGTCAACCTACATCTCGGGATCGAGTACCAATACAAAATCAAGACCGAAGATGAATTCGAAGACCGTTTGTACTGTCGTCCATATGGATCACTCTATCGTGACATGACTTCCTACACTCCATCAATCCTCAAATAAGATTTTCGGGATCCGTAGCAGTCTTTCTGCCCAAATAGTACGCTATTACCCCACGCAACAATCGTGTTTGCTACAAGATGGCGATGCTCACGACCGAGCGTGCTAGATAGACGGTTGGATCTCACACAAGCAGATTGCACGATTTTCAAAGATGTCCTCTCACCGAAGCAAGGCTCCAACTACCAAAGAACAAGAGGATGGCACAGTTCACAAAATGAGAACAGCGAATGCGATGAAGGCTAGACATGTCGCGTACCATTCCTTTTCACAGCCACACCTCCCCTCCCTCCACTCTGCCTTCGACCTGGAGCTGCCACCGTCCCTCGGATGCGCAGGATACATAGCAATATCCAAGCTCGGCCATCATTGGAGCTGAATTCACGCCCTGCGGGACATGTACAGTGCTACATGATTGGCTTCGATGCACTCGGCATCTCTACTGTCCACAAAACTGTGTCCTCATAGACATCAGATCTAACGCTCTCATGAGGTTGGAAGTTAATTCTCCTGGAGACCTTGCATTTCGAAAGGTTTTTGGCTTCAATCGAGGATTCAGATGATCATGATATGCACACACCGTATTATTTACGCTCGTCGAGTCCGCATCTCTACCCGTGAAGCAAGGAATGTGAGCAGGTCGAAAGTAGGCTAGCTGATTAGATTCCGCAAGAGGCCCCATTCCAGGATCGCTGGCATCAACTAGACACCACACGCCCAGCAACAACAACAACAAGCACATCAATTTTGAACTCTCTATTGACCACCTCAAAAATCTACCTGCACACTATCCACACCACGGACTGCTTCCCCCAGCTCCTTAATATAAAGGAGCGCCCCTACCTCCTCCTCCTCCTCCACCACCACATGCTATATATTTTCGAACCTCAATAATCCAACTCAAGGAGACGTAAGAAAAGGACCCCAGCCAAGCACACTCCCTGACGCCTCGCACACCAACACGCAAATAAAACCCCTATATCCAGCGCCAGCCGCTTTGCAACTCGCAACAGCAAAAAACACGAGATAGATGATGGTGAAACTTGCAGAACCGAAGAGTCGAGGTCGATAAGGCAAGGCCGTGTCGTCGATCGTTCCATTACTAACAGTGTGATGTGATGTCGGAAAAACAAGATTTTGCTGTCCCGTCTATGAATCATTACAAAATACCTATACAGGGAAAGAACATGGCGGCCGATCGGTGAGAACTATGGCGATGGGAAGGCTTCGCTCAAGGACAGGAAGGACTCCAGAATGCAATGAAAATGAAATGTAGAATCAGGCTGATGTGCACAGACGGCACTAAGAACTGCCGGCGCCACAGCAAAAAATGTTCATGAGTTTCTTTCCGAAACCAGGCCGTTCAGCCTGCTGTTGCCGAGGCGGTTGTGCGTTGGGACTCTGCACAGGCGTTGCTCGGTTCGACGTCAGGTTCGGCTGGCTGTGCTGGAACTGGGCTTGCGTAGAGCCCTCCGGCGGTGCCAGCTCGGCCGCACTCTTCCTCTTGA